GAGTTTCTAAACTTGTTTTTGCATCCAGAATAATATTATTCCCGCTGCGGGGGATTCGCATACGGGTTCATCTGGGGTTCTTAGTGGTAAGAAAATGGAGGGAATTCAGACTTCCAAATCTTCAGATAAACCAAGCTCGAAAATTAGTCAGGTATTCATTTGTGTTATTTGAGTATCCTTGCCTTTATGCTGGGTTGTGTTGTCATGATTTGACTCCCTTTCTATTCTAGATTGGAAGTCTTAACAATGAAGGCGCTGCTGGTCATTTCTTGGGTGAGAAGACTATTAGTTGTGGCCAAAAAGGGGTTGTTGATGAGTCAGTAAAATTGACTGGCTCATCAATTGTGACAAATGGATTGTTACATGTGAAAGCTCCTGATTGCAGACGCCATAGAAAATTGAAAAAGAAGCAGATGAAGTCTAAGGTGGCATGCATGCATTTACGGCCAAGCTTACTCTCCAGAGCAGTCTTAAGTGTACAGAAGAAGAAGAAACACAAAAGGAGTAAGCACCCAACTTCAGATACCCAGACCCTTAGTAAGGAACGCTTAATGGACAGTTCTCGCTTCTTATCTGATCTGGGGCCATCGACATCTGAGAAAACCCAATCAATTTCCTTGGTTTCTACCCTCTCTAAACAAAAGTCTAAGAGAAAGAGAACCAAATCTGGCTTGAAAAAGGATGCAGATGGAACTGCTGAAAGTGGAGAGTCTAGGGAGAGTCTTCATCAGAATGGTACAGTGCTTGCAAGTGATAAACGACTAGAAAATGGTTGTGGATCTAGCCCTTGCTCAATGGAAAACCAGCGGGAGACGGGGGGAACTGATAGCCCAAGCAATTGTAAAACAGACAAAATGCAAAATGGATGGACTGGTGCGCTGACCCGAGGTCACCATGAGACAGTTGGTGAGTAGATTATCTAGTAACTCTTCCCTCCTGACCTTATATTTGGGCAAAGTGGATATTTAATACATTAAGGCCATGGTTCTGATTGGCAAATTGAGCTTCACTTTTGCCGGTTGGTCCGTTAGTCGTGAATGCTGGATAGACCTTGTAGTTTCCAAGTTCTTGGTTGCTTTTTTTGTTTTTTGTTTTCCTTCTGTTTTATAAAATATGGAATTGAAGCCCATTGAAACCGACTCTGGTTATAATTTGTTGATTGCAGTTGAACGTTGGGATGGAATGCCTCCTTCTCATGTTGTAGAATCAAGCCATGCAAAGAGTGTCAGCATCGGTTATATACCAGATGATTGGTGAGTTTGGAATCCCTTTTTCTTTTCTTTGTGGGGTTATTTCCAAGGTACATTGGAAATGACCTTGAATCTTGAGCTTTATTTGAAAAGTAAATTGGAAATCATTAATTCTATTGCAGTAGAACAGGGGTTGGGTTAATAGTTTGCTAACCTTCATTATCTTCCCTACGATGATTCTTTATTCCTTATCTGGATCATATAAACAGATAGGTTCAGCTTTACGAGTCCTGATTACCAATTACCGAAAATATTAATCCTTAAATAATATGTCAACAGGCTTGTAGAATTAGAAATGTTTGGCTGGCTCGCATTAGTTCAGTGAGTGCAACATGATCTTCTGTTTCGCATTAAAAAATAATGAACTTGTGGTGATTTTTGAATTGTTTATTGAATCGAGCTTAGGACTCTGAAATTAATAACCATCAGTGATATCAGCATTACTTTCACTAGATAAATCACTACATATATATATAGTCTTCTGACGAGTTGTGGATTTCAATTTGATGCAGGGATGAAGAATATGATAGGGGAAAGAGAAAGAAGGTAAGGCAATCCAAGCTCCCCTCTGGAGGGCCAAATCCATTCCAAAGGATTGCAACCCAGAGATCACAGTTGAAGAAGGCAAGGATAGAGAGGTTTGATTCTGGAAATCACCCAGTCAGGATATGATGGAAGTATACTACTTGTGCAGACAGATTGTTGGTCTGCCTGCTGTTTTGTTTTCTATAGCAGTTGAGAGAAATTGTAAGCAAGAGCAGAGGGGGGAAGAGAGCATTAGGATTATTTTATATGTTGTGTTTGGGTTATTTTTTGTTGGAGAGGAAGAGAGCTCAGAGCAGGGGACTGTATCTTATTCCTGTGGGAGCATTTCTCATGGAAGGATAGTTGCTGCATTTGCTGAAGGCTCATGTGTTTCAGCCTTTCAGAGATACCAATAATCTTTTTTCTTTAAAAAAAAATGTTTTTGGGCTCCTACGATCGATAAGCAGTACTTTTGGACTACTTATAAAAGAGTGTGTTGTGTTGGTACTGTTAGCGTATGAAATTTTGGTTATTAATATAATAATAAAGCTTTGTCCACATATTTTCAGTGTTGAGCAAAACATTTCAATGTTTGATGATGCAGAAAAGATACTTAAATAAATTACAAGGTTTTGACTTTTAACTTTATGTTTACTTGGGAGTTCACGAGGATGGGTAAAGGTTGTAACTTTCCTTGTCACGGACGTGTGTGAGCTGAGTTAAAGAGTCCGTTTGATTTTGATTGATATTGTAGAATGGATGTTTAAAAATGAAATAAAAATATTATCTGCCAAACGAGATTTGATATAATTATTTTCTTTTGGTGGTGGTCAAAAGCATGGAATAAGCTTGCAGCTGAAGGGAGGATGCATGATTATCTCCTTAAGCCCCCAATTAATGCAAATCATTACGACTTGAAGCATCTCCCTCCACTTTACTTCTTGTCGGGTCTTAACAAAGGGAGACGCTTGCCAAGTTGCCCATGTGCAAACAAACACCATATCTCTATCAATCAATCTATCTCTAGTATTTGTTTTAAATTTGGATTTTCTTTGTCCACTGCAACTTGGGTCGTCTAAAATTGTCAAGGCCCTCATGTCATGTGCCTTAAGTTTAATTAATTCTTTAATGCCTGCCAGGTGTCCAAATCAGGGGCATGACAAGATTATTAATCATGATGAGCTTCCATGATGCAAGCACAAGTTCACAACCACAAAAGTGCATCATGGAAGGAGATACGGAGAAACAGAGCCTGGATTTTTTCTCAATCATCAACTCCATTAGTCATTAGAGTATCTTCAAATTCACATTATTATGCTCTCAACTTGCTCTGGACTGTGCTAATTACCTCTGTAGACTGTAGCTGTACGAATAAATAATTCCATTTTTTATTTATAATTATAATCCGTGATGGCTTCTCCTCCAAAAATAAAAATAAAAATCTGTGATGGCCCACCTAGACCCACCCATACCATCTACTAACTTATTAGTGGTGAAAATCATAGGTGGGTTAGTGGATAAATCATATTTCAGTTGTCTAAGAAAATGGGTTGCTTGGGAGAACCTTTTACAACTGTTGAAGTCAACAAAACGCTGCCCTCACCTCACCTTACCTCACACTAGCAATTCTAGGTTCTAGCTAATCCATTGAAAAACGCAGTCCCATTACTACTGTTGATTGAGAAAAATTGCCATCAATTGTATTGACAAAACGAGCAGCATGAAATCGTTTTGATTGTAATACTTCCCATCATTTAATCAACACTAAACATCTTTAAGGGCAGGCCAGTACTAGAAATTCTCTTTTTTTGGGTAAATATCACGAGGTGTTCTCACGCCCGAAGGGTGAGATTAATAGCCACTTAGAGTTCGGCTTCTCCTTGAACACAAAATGTTTCAAACAGATTTCGAACCCCTGCTATTGAGGCACCATGTAGCTCGCCAACTGGAAGTGACAGTTTGCCAACTGCACCACACCTTGTGAAATTCTCTTTCACTAAAGCATATAAAAGACAATCTCTTCTGATTTATTTTATTTTATTTTTTAAAAACCTAGAATTCTTTTTAAAAAAGTGTTAATTTGGCCATGAGTGAGTCTCTCGTTTTGCACCAAAGTTTGAATCATAATCCTGTTTCGGTAGAGTACTTTATCAAAAGGGAAAAAGAATTAATACCCCCGGGGCTACATATGAATTAAAAGCTCCTCACTAAACCAGTCTCCTCCATCTGAACACTATACAATTTAAATGTAAAATTAATTGGTAGTATTATATTTGATCTTTAATAGACGGTGATTAGCATTTTGAATAACAAATTGCCAATTTCCAATTGGATTTCAATTCAATCGGAGAAAAAAAAACAACCAACTTCCAATTGTAGAAAAAGAATCAATTATCAACACACACTCAATGACGAATCATTGAATTCCCCCACCAAGAAAAAGTTCACCAACCCAAATAGATATGTCCATTAAACCTTGTTCATTTATGTAGCCCAACCCCTGTCTACCCCGGTCTGGACTCTTTTGTTCTTTCCTTCCCAATATACCCCTCCTCTGTTAAATGCCTCTCTCACGGTCTTCTTGACACTCCCATCAGACAAAATCCCCCTCTGTTTTCATTTAGAATACATATGACTGTTTTTTTATGTTTGTTTTTCAGAAAAAAATATATGCAACAAAACTAGAGCTTCCCCTTCTCATATTCTACTTCTACACAGAGACAAAAGTGCTTCCCCTTTTGTGTTGTTTGTTTCTGTAGCTTTCATCGACCTGCAAGGCCACACAAGATGAGCTCACATTCCATCTGAAAACACCAGAAATCCGTAGCTCTCGAGAACCCGTGTGTTATATGCATGTGCTACTTCACCTATTGGTTATTTGCCGTCATTCAGTTTTGGGGGTTTCTTAGCAAGAAAAGGACCACAAACCAACCAATTCTGCATGTAACTTCTTGTTTTTGGAGAGTTTTAGCCTAACAATCATGTTTTCTTGAAACCCGAAACCATTTTACACTGTGCGGTGGTGGTCGTGTGGGATTTAATGGAGCTGCAGAGGCCAAGCAAGTACTTCTGAGATGGACCCAGGACCATTTATGATACTATAATGCTGCTTTTGAAACTCTGAGAGAGAGAGAGAGAGGGTTCTTTGAGGAGTTTAGTGCTGGTTTGGGTTGAACTTTGAAGCACCTTTTCCCCCGTTGTACTACTTTTTTTTTCTTTTTCCAAATGGGTTTCGGTTTCTTTGTTTCTCTACTGGTGCTTTCACTTTTCTTGAAGCCTTTGGCTTGTCAACAACCCAATACAGATGGGTTCTTTGTCTCTCAGTTCTTGCAAAAGATGGGCTTATCCTCTTCTCAGCTCTACAACTTCTCTGCTCCTCTTTGCTCATGGAAAGGAGTATTCTGTGATGCAAAAAAGGAATATGTTATTGGCTTAGAGGTTTCTCGTTTGGAACTCTCTGGTTCTATCCCTGATACCACTATTGGAAAGCTCACCAAGCTCCAGACTTTGGACCTTAGCAACAACAAAATCACTGGTCTTCCTTCAGATTTGTGGAGTCTAGGCTCACTCAAGTACCTTAATCTCTCCCATAACCGGATTTCTGGGTCCTTGCCAAACAACATTGGCAACTTTGGTCTACTTGAAAGCTTCGACCTTTCCAGCAACAATTTCTCTGGTGAAATTCCTGCTGCTATAAGCTCCCTCGTCAGTCTGCGAGTTCTTAAACTCAGCCAAAACTGGTTTGAAAAGAGCATCCCATCAGGAATTGTGAGTTGCCAATCTTTGTTTTGGATTGATCTCTCATCGAATCGGTTAAATGGGTCTCTTCCAGATGGTTTTGTTGCTGCATTTCCTAAGCTCCAAATATTGAATCTTGCTGGAAATGAGATTTCTGGCCGGGACTCCGATTTCTCAGAGATGAAATCCATTACTTCTCTTAATATTTCCGGGAATATGTTTCAGGGTTCGGTAGTAGGTGTCTTTAAGGAGCTGTTGGAGGTGGTTGACCTGAGCAGGAACCAGTTTCAAGGTCACATTTCTCAGGTACAATTCAATACTAGCTACAATTGGTCTCATTTGGTTTATTTAGACCTTTCTGAGAATCAGCTTGGCGGAGAAATTTTACATAATTGGAATCAAGCCCAGAATCTCAAACACCTTAACCTAGCAGACAATAGATTTACAAGGCAGGAATTCCCAAGAAATATGGAAATGCTTTTGGGTTTGGAATACCTTAATTTGTCTAAAACTAGTCTTACGGGTCGCATTCCTGCTGAGGTTTCCAAATTGAGTAACTTGAATACACTTGATCTTTCTCAGAACCATCTTATAGGCTACATTCCATTACTCAGTATAAGAAATCTCCAAGTTTTTGATGTTTCATTCAACAACTTGAGTGGAGAAATCCCTGCATCACTCTTGGAGAAACTCCCTTGGATGGAGAGGTTCAACTTCTCTTACAATAATTTGACACTTTGTGCTTCTGAAATCTCCCCTGAAACCCTCCAAACATCTTTCTTTGGTTCATCAAACAGCTGCCCCATTGCAGCGAACCCGGTACTTTTAAGAAGACGAGCCACTAAGGACAAGCACAAGGGACTAAAGCTTGCTTTGGTTTTGACCTTCTCAATGGTATGCTTGCTTGCTGGTTTGCTATTTCTAGCATTTGGTTGCAGAAGGAAAACCAGAATGTGGGAAGTAAAACAACCCTCATACAAGGAAGAGCAAAATATATCAGGCCCCTTTTCATTCCAGACTGATTCAACTACATGGGTTGCGGATGTTAAGCAAGCAACTTCGGTCCCTGTAGTAATTTTCGAGAAGCCATTGCTGAATTTCACATTCTCAGATCTCTTATCTGCAACTTCAAATTTTGACCGGGGAACCCTTTTGGCTGAAGGGAAATTTGGGCCTGTTTATAGAGGATTTCTTCCAGGTGGAATTCATGTAGCAGTGAAAGTTTTGGTCCATGGTTCTACATTGACAGACCAGGAAACTGCAAGAGAGTTTGAATATCTTGGTCGAATCAAACACCCCAATCTTGTTCCATTGACTGGATATTGTTTAGCTGGGGACCAAAGGATTGCTATCTATGATTACATGGAGAATGGGAACCTTCAGAATTTGCTTTATGACTTGCCACTTGGGGTTCAGACAACAGAGGATTGGAGCACAGATACATGGGAAGAAGATGATAACAATGGCATTCAAAATGTTGGTTCTGAAGGGTTGTTAACAACTTGGAGATTCCGTCACAAAATTGCACTTGGCACTGCGAGAGCATTAGCATTTCTACACCATGGTTGCTCACCTCCAATTATTCATAGAGACGTCAAAGCTAGTAGTGTTTATCTGGATTATAACTTGGAGCCAAGATTATCTGATTTTGGACTGGCTAAGATTTTTGGCAATGGTTTAGATGAAGAGATCTCTCGAGGGTCACCGGGGTACCTGCCGCCTGAGTTTTCTCAGCCAGAATATGATACTCCAACACCAAAATCTGATGTATATTGCTTTGGAGTTGTTCTCTTTGAGCTGATTACTGGGAAAAAGCCAATTGGTGATGATTATCCTGAGGAGAAAGATGCAACTTTGGTGAGCTGGGTTAGAGGATTGGTTAAAAAGAACAGGGGAGCAAGCGCTATTGACCCAAAAATTCGTGATACAGGACCAGATGACCAAATGGAGGAGGCGCTCAAGATTGGATATCTGTGCACAGCTGACCTTCCCTTAAAGCGACCGAGCATGCATCAGATAGTTGGTCTTCTTAAAGATATGGAACAAACAGGTAACCAATGAAGAACAAATTAAGCTGAAAAAGGAAAATGTGGGAGTTTATTCTTTAGCTTTTCTTTCCTATTTATTTTTGTTCTTGTTGGCTGTTATGGATTCTATTTTTGCTTCCATGGGAAATTGTACAGTAGCCCTGGAAATTCAGTTTGGACTTTTGATGTCGGTTCTCTTTGTGTTGTCATTGTTTTGTGGAAATAAAGTTGGAATTTATCTATACAAAGGAGTTTGATTTGAGATGTAGTTTCTTTCTTAGAATCTCATTTACTTGGGTTCAATGAGAAGGCTGATCTAGTCTAAAAGCAAAACTAGTTCAATGTGTCAAAACTTTGTAGATGCATTCTTTTCTTAGAGCATAAATTTGTGCAAATATGCATATGCATGCATAGTGGTGAGTCACAGAGGCTGAAGAGCTTTGGCATGAGCCCTCGACCACCTTTTTGCACCGTCAACCATGCATGCATGCTTGCTTCTACCAAAAACAAAATGTGTGGCTTTGTATGTATATACGAGTCGACCTCAGAAATTTTACGAGTACATGTGCTTGTGATTGTGAACACGGGATGTCCATTAACATATATGAAATGAAACCCATATTCAGGAAAATTGGAGGTGTCCCCTCTCCCCTAGCTACCTTCCATGCCAAAGTACAACCTAGTGAATTTGTAACTGACAGCTAGCTAGCTGTTGTAAGTCTCTTTATTGTGTTGAGGCAAACTATTGATGAGTGGTATTCATTTCATATTAATGGTCCTTCCTGATGTAGAATGTGTATGGGGGTGGAGAGAGAGAGAGAGAGAGAGAGAGAGAGAGAGAGAGAGAGATTCCTGCATAATTGAAAATAACATGGGCCTAGATTGTTAATGTTGATTGCATGTTCACTATAATTTACAGAGGGGGTATGGACACTAGGAAGGAAGAAATGGAAGCAGCATGCCATGCATACCAACTTCATCTTCCAAAAAATATAGGCATACATGATATGATAACTTGCAAGCGCATGTTTCTTCTGAGAGTCAGAGTTTGATTAGTTGATGCGAGCCATGGTTTAATATTAATACTGATTAGGCTATATATGTTAATGAAGACGCATAACCTTTTCATAATAAATAACAGTATATTGAAGAGCAGCATCATATCTAGCCGAATGGAAATTGGAATGGTCATCATCATACTTTTCAATACGGGTTATAATATATAATATAGTTGGTTTGGTTGTGAAGCATTTTCGAGTTTTTAAAGTTCAATCTGGCCAAGCGTAGAAAAACAATAGCCGAAAGAAAAAGTGAGCATATTGCATACTTATGATGAGTGTCAATGTGTGTGAGTGTGACCACCCAACCCAAATGTCAATGATTTCATGTTTTCATATACTACCTCATGTGATGTGTCACTTATCTTTTGACATGCGCAAGAAAGAAGAAGACATTGTTCGTAGTGTACGTAGGTGCGTAGTGTAGATAACCTCCTCTTATTTGCATGCGTGCAAAAATTGAAGGCAAAAGTCTGATGGGCTTTTATTTTGTTGTCCTCACAGTCAGTCACTCCACATGGAGCATCAGTATTATATTACCAGCAGCTTATTTAAGCACTGGTCCAGAGAGAGAGAGAGAGAGAGAGAGAGAGAGAGAGAGAGAGAGAGAGAGCATTTTTGGATACATCACATTGATTCATGTCTTGTTTCTAAAACTAATTTCTTGGTTTTCTGTTTTCAGCAAGCATACGCATATATGATTGCTTCAGCGTGCTTTAGCTTTTTGGTTTGGTGCCTGCCTGCCTGGTGGGTGAATCAATTTATGGAATGAACATGAAGCTGAGCTGAAGATTATCTGTATCTCTTCAGCTTTATGTCACTATTTTATTTTCTGTTTAACACATATTTACCATGATTATTACAGCTTTATCATGTCTCAGCCAAATCTAATTATGTTTTGGTGATTTGTTAACCATAACTTTTACCCTTTGGATCAATTTCCTACTTTCACATAGTGTGGGTATGTGGCAGCTCAAAGTATGACAGTTTTCAGCCAACCACCAGAAGTGGCAGAATTCAGAATGATGGTGAAATTTTCTCTGTCCTCAAATTTGGGCTTGCCAGTTTCTGTAGCTCATGGTGTGTTGTGAGGTGAAATTATTTCTTCATTCAGTCACAAGTTGTGGGTATGTAATGTCTGGGGCATATAAACAAAATTCTTCATCAAGTGTTGAATTTATAAGATGTAAGCTAATAATATCAGCATTTTTGTATCCAAGAATTTGGTTTTGTTGCGGGAATAATTGGATGGGCCCATATAGCGTTTTGTATGCATCGGGCATCGGATTCTTTGGTTCGGTCCAAGTCCAACGCGGCATCTTTACAAGAAGCGAGGGGAGGCGAGGGGAGACGTGCATCGTTTCAAATATGTAACAATTTTTTTAACATATCACGAATTTCTGGAATAATACAATTTAAAATCAGAAATAAAAAAAAGGCTTTCTTTTTCTATATTAAAAATCAGTCTTTAAAAATACTCATCGAAGTAAAATCAGTCGTTTTTAGGCACATGATGATAATAAAAAAATTGAAAATGATAGGGAAAAAAAAACAAAAAAGAGGGGATGGATAATTCCGTTTCCTATTCTTTTTGGATAAGTTTATAGGAGACAAGGGAGTGAATGAAGAGGGGCTAAACACTAACCATTGATCCAACGGTGCAGATTTGATATCCTTAACTAGGGTTACGATATGACCTAGAAGGCTTTGAATATAGAGCCCGTCACACCCCTTGAACCAGAAGTCGTCCTCTTCGTTATTTTGGTAGAAAAGAAAAAGAAGAGGAACAGAGAAGCTTACTAAGCTCGACAGAGAGAGAAAGATGTCTGACGAGGAGCACCAGTTCGAATCCAAGGCCGATGCTGGGGCTTCCAAGACCTACCCTCAGCAGGCTGGTACCATTCGCAAGAATGGTTACATAGTCATCAAGGCCAGGCCTTGCAAGGTTTCTTCTATTCTCTCTCCTTTGTTTTTCGAATGATTCATGTTTTAGATTTTTTTTGGGTGAGAATTCATCTGGGTTTGTACGATTTCACCAGATCTCTACTGGGTTCTTTGATTTTAATTGAAATTTGCTGCTTTTACTGCTTTGTTTTTGGTGTTTACTTAACTTATTCATGCTTGGAGGAAATTAATCTATCTTTGTTAGTTACAGGGTTGCTATGTTTATTCTTGAGGATGATAACTACTTGGAGTTGTTAATGATTTTGTCATGTGGGGTTGCTTACAGGATGAGAGTTTATTTGTTAGAAGTTATGTTTTAATATCTCCTTTTGTTGGTAATTACGGGGCTTTTGCGGATGAGGTTTTGCTACTTAGCACACTTCATGCATCCATATACAAATAGAACTGGGTATCACACTTTCCCTTACTCAATTCCTAGATGTTCTCATTAGGACTCGCAATGAAAACTTGGTTGTTACAGTGTGGGAATTAGGATCTAAATTTGTTCTGCTGTAAATCCACTCATTAATCATAAATTCCAGTTTTCATCCTTCAAAACTTGATTAAACTGAAGTGTTATTGCTTCTCATCCTTATAAAATCAGTACAACATGACTCAAGAATTTTCACAATACTGAGTTTTCATGGCCTACCCAACTTATATTAACTGTTCCCTGTAAATATGTATTTGTGAATACGTTTTCCCCCTTTTGCGTTATTCATTTCCTTATTTTGTTGTAGTTCTGCAGTCTCGAGTTAGTCATCCAATTTATTCGTTAACATCCTGTTTGCTCGTTTAACAGGTTGTCGAAGTCTCCACTTCAAAAACTGGCAAGCATGGTCATGCAAAGTGCCACTTTGTTGCAATTGATATTTTTAATGGGAAGAAACTTGAAGATATTGTTCCTTCATCCCACAACTGTGATGTAATGTTTTCTCTAAACTTGAATTTTGTGTCTCTGAGTTCCGTGTATGTGCTGTATTTCTTGGTTGCAAGTTAACTCATCTGTTTTTCCATATGCTTACCATTCAGGTTCCTCATGTCAACCGTACTGACTACCAGCTGATTGATATCTCTGAAGATGGTTTTGTAAGTCCTCTGACCAATTAGTACCAAAACATGGCATCAGAAATTTTGATTGCTATGTGAATTTATGTCCATTTTGATGATAATGATGATACCAAGGGAGACAAACTTGCATTCATTTTTAAAACGTGAGATGTTTCTCTTGAGTTTTTGCAGCATGGATTTATGTTTTGGAGTTGAACAACATATTTTCCCCTGTTTGTGTTATGTTAAAAATGTAATAAGTTTCTTGTAACATGCATTTACCTGTTTAATACATACCGATAACAGATACACAATACACATATATGCAAAACCGGAAACTTGACTACCCAAAAGTTAAAACAGAAATTTCACCTGTGAGATGGAAGGGCATGATGAGACAAGTAGTTGCCTGCCTGCCATTTTATATAAACTAACTGGAGTTGGGTGTCTTGTAGGTGAGTCTTTTAACTGAAAATGGAAACACCAAGGATGATCTGAGGCTTCCCACCGATGAAAGTCTGCTTAGTCAGGTATGTCATTGACAAAGTTTTCCTATAGTCAAAGTTGCTTTATTGTATCTGTTTTCTTTGTAGACTAAAATCTTTCTTTCATATTCTCCTTTATAGATTAAAGATGGGTTTGCTGATGGAAAGGATCTTGTGGTGACTGTCATGTCTGCAATGGGAGAGGAGCAGATCTGTGCTCTCAAGGATATTGGTCCTAAGAACTAAGTATGATGCTGTAGCAGTAGCTGTAGCTGATGGCAAGACTTTCTTCGTTTTTTATTTTTTCTTGTGGAACTGTTGCTAACAGGGAGGTTTATCAACCATATTTCTGTGCAATGAACCGTTATTTTAAATGGTATTTTAGCTTGCCAAGCTTGTAAAAGTGATGACGCAAATTAAGGCTGCTGATCCCTTGCAAAGGGAGCTTGATGCATATCTATTAAACTATTTTGGCTTTTTCCAACAAAAGAAAAATATTTCTGGTTAATCTTTCAATTAATGCTCGTTTTGTGATGCATGTTTTGGGATCCTTACTGATGTTACTCATCAATCTTGTTAATGGCTTTACTTTTGGGTCTCTTTGAATAAATCTATGAATCTGTTGGTATTAGGTTTGATGGCGTTGCTGTGGTCTTTCTGGCTAGCATCTAATTTGCCCTCAAAAGGCCTTTTTGTGCGTTCAACCTAGATTCCATGTTCGTATGCGATGATGTTGTCTGCTATATCCTGAAAAACCAGACAAGGAAAAAAAATGCGTTTACACATTTGCACACGCGGGTGCACTTGGGAATTGCAGCTCTTTCCTTTGAAATAGAACAAATGTTACATATATCTTGCTTATAATACATCTTGATATCTTGGGGAAGAAAAATGTCTGACAACGAAGAGCTCCAGTATAATAATAAGATACGATAAACGAAAAACATAACCCCAAAAGATTGAACACAGAGAGAGCAGACAAGAAAATATCAAGAGGAATCTTTACTTGTAGAGGAACTGCCATAGATGTAGCAGCCAAAGCCCCAAAATGTGACGACCAGAGAGAGGATCTTCAAGCCGCTCATTGGGTCTTTTAACAAAATGACAGCTGCAATGCTTGTGAGGGGTACCCTTATTGCATTCAGGACACCCGCAAGAACAGTGGACGACAAAAAAAGCACAGCAACACTCCCTAATACCCCCAGCTGGAAACTGATGGTGCTCCAAATGAGAACAAGGTAATAAGAAGATTTACCACCCTTGAAACTTCTGGCCTCATATTTCATTCCCTGAAAATCGTTGTTCACAATTACTCCAATCGTGGTAAATACAAACGCAAACAAAGAGACCATCACTTGCTGCTCCAACACAACATGGAAGGACCTTCTACCAACTAGCTTCACGAAAACTAGCTCCGAAAGAGCAAATATGAGTCCGTGGAGAGCAGACCCTAAAATATCCCATACAAAACCCCAAATGTATTGCTTATCAGTGACATTTCCATATCTGTCTGAATCTGAATCCAAAGCAATGATGGTCATAGCAGCAGTAATGACAACAACAGCGTTTACTATTGCAGCGTTTAGCTTGTTCTTCACAAGTAGATATCCAAACAATGCAGAAAATACTAGAGATGATGATGCGAGAAGAGAAGCAGTAGATGCTGGGAGGTAAGCATATGCATAAGCATACATGAGGTTGTCAGCAGCACTTAAGAGACCAAGCACAATATAAGAATAAGTAAGTTTTAAAGTGAGGGGAGTAGGAGAGGCTTTGCAGACCAAGTATGTAGGGAGCAAGATCAAAGCAGTCAGAGGCCACCCTGCAACTGCCACCCATGAAATGATCCACTTGCTAGTGCCACCATTGGCATAATAGACACGAGACAGAAGGCTTGATGCAGGGAACGCTACGAGCATTGCCGCACTGCTTAGAACAAGAAGAATCCAATGTGAGATTGGCTTTCTTTTGTATGCTTCCCTAGCCCTCGTCTCAAAGGCAGAAACCCGGCCCCATAACGAAACTGGGAGATTTGATGGTTCCTCCTCCATTCTCTCCCCTGACATGAATATATATGATCATGAGAAAATATCAATATTAACAAGCCCATAAAATAGCAATCAATCTTATTCATCCTCTCCTTTTATCTCATTTCCTCAAAATTCAAATCTGACCCATTGAACTCCATTTAAACAGAATCCAACAGTTAATTTTCTCATCCTCCTGACCAAAAATTCTAGATTTTTTTTCATTTTCTGAAGTTATCCACCACTCAATCAAGATAAATTCATTGAATTCTGGTTATCTCAGCTTAAAATGGATGATAATTGAGGGAAAGAAGGGAAAGGAGGGAAAGAAATCCAAACTAATTTTTTTTGGATCTAAGTACCCTGACTTAGATACCTGCCGTGCAAAATCCTTGCTTCAAATTGACCACATTTTTCTTTTTCTTTTTCCCATGAAGAGGAAGAGTACTTGATATGATAAATATAAGCAGTAAATGCACAATATTGAACCCACCATGAAACTATACTGATGTAGAACAAGAAGAGAATTAGAGTGGAGGGGAACATAGGATAGGAGAGGAAAGAAGAAGAAGAAGAAGACAGAGGCAAAATAAAAAAGAAGTAGGAACCAAACCAGAAGCAAACTACAGCTAACCAGCACCTCTACAGTAAAAGAAACCAAATACAATCCCTAAATCAAATAAAATCACTACACAAAACTTCAAAGGAAACTAACTAAAATCTACACGAATAAACCCAATTTCTAAGCTTATTTGGATGCATAAAATAACTGCAACTTCTCTTCTTCTATCTGTCTCCTAATAGCTCTTTTAGTCTATTACAACTAGGGCAGTTTGCTGTATACAGAAGAAAACAGCTGAGGCCATAAAAGCCATTAAGCTTAAAGATTTGAACTTTGAAGAACAACATAACAAGTAAACAGAAAAAGTGAAAAGTTAAAAAGAAAACAGCTCAATCTCAGTACTGCTGCTGAAGAACAATGCATTGGACAAGCGAACAGAAAAGTGAACAGTGCATACTTTTCAATTCCAATGTTCCATACAGCGACACAGATTATCCACCCAACACACACAAAGAGGAATTTCGATTGAATTTTCTCTCTCAAGCAACCAACCAATCAGCATCAAAATGAAAAGAAAAAGAAAAACAGAAATCAATAAAAAGAAGTGAAATTGAGTAAAGAAAAGGCTAACCTGACTCTAGCAGCGGCTGCATGAAATGAGGATGACAGCGAGAGCCTATAGGGTAGAGAATAGCTAGAGAGTATTTTGGAGGTGAAGACAAGACGGAAGCGAATTGAAGTGAAAAGGGTGCGTTTGCGTTAGCCGGAGCATGCAAGTGCAAGTCACATAGTTTTTGTTTGGGGTTGGGTTTAGGTAGGTTGTGAATTCACTGATCTACTTGTATTAGTTGTAGTTGTAGTTGTGAACGTGTTCTTTCTCAACTCCGACGGGTTTGGATTGGGTAGATTTGCGTGACTCTACTTTTTGGGATATCTGGATGGACTGGACTGTGTGTGAAGGAATGTTTATTTATTTATTTCTTCAGGACTGTATTCCCAACCCCAAGTGTGGAGGATGATGACGGAGACGGCCTCATTAATTTCATTTTTCAACCCTTTAAATATATAAAACTCAACGTAAATATATCGTCCTCGTCATCCACCCATGGAATCGAAATGATTTTGAAAAAATAACTTTGTCTTCTGCTCTACATCTTGATTGGACAACAAACGGCCACGTGCTCAGAGTTCTATCATCAGCGTTTGCGTTTCTGTTCTTGGTAGTCGTATTAACTTTCTCGCAAGAATCTCCCTTTAATCTTTTACAAAGAAAGCAATTTATTAGGAGCCTTCCAATCCATAACAAAAACGGCAAAAGTGGTAATTGCGTTCTGACTTACGAAAAGGGTTTTCCACTATAACCACAGACTCTTCTTCCAACAATTAATATTCTCAATAAACTACACCTTTTATTTTATTTTTTATAAGACCGTAGCCACAACTTAAATCAGAATACATTCTAATTTTGATATTGACATATAAAAAAATCGATAAGCGAATTTTATTTTTCACCTTTGCGTATATGCAAGACAAGAATTTACTTTTGCGAGATCACGAATCCAAATCTTGAAATTTCACATGAATTCAAATCTTGAGTGTTCACATGAATTCAAGTTTTTCAAAAAATAATTGTTATATAAATGAAATATGAAATAATGTTGATAAATAAAATATTGTCATAGCAATTGAGGTTAAAAATTAAAAGCAAAATTCGAGGTTGAACTCGTAAAGTGATGAGCCAATAAATAAAGGAAGAGAATGAGTAGAATATCACTTTTTTAGGTGCTTATAACATCTCATTAAATTAATACAAGATTTTTATTTAAACACACAAATTACAGAAAATGGGTCACTATGTCCGAGTCCAAACGGCGGCCGAAAGGAAACCGTCAAGGCAACAAAACAACGATGATCCCCGCATCTGATGTAACGCAGATATTAACGGCTTCGGTTACACCGTCATAAAAACCACCTGAGTCAACGCCAGTCAAAGACACATATATCCCCCACATCATCTCTCACCGTCTCTCTCTCTCTCTCTCCCCTTAATCTATAAACCGGTACACAGAATCCAAAACATTTTTCGGTTTCGGTCTCATTTTCGGGGTCGATTTTGGACACTATAAAAGTCACAGTACCAACAGTTGCGAAAAACTTTACTCTCTTAGAGTGACAATCGGCCATGGCTGAGCACGAGAGCTTCGATGCTCTCCAAGTAGAAAAGCTAAAGCCAAACGAACAAGAACAAGAAGAAGATGAAGAAGGCGATGAAGATGAAGACGAGGACGAAGAAGGAAAGCGACTCGGTGAAATTCAGCTGGGCAAGTTACAGAACTCTGCACCAGAGTCAAGAGAGACGCAATTAGAAACCCTAGCGGTGCCTTCTGCGCTGGAATTATCAGAGAACGATCAGTGTGCAGGTAAGCTTTGTTCTTCGGAAACGGTGTGTTAGTTTTTGGAAGAAAAAAAATGTTTTTTTGTTTTTTTATTTTATATAGCTTTAGTGCTTGGTGGGATTATAGTGAACGGGGTTATCTTGTGTGGTTGATCCCACAGGTTTTCAGGTTAACTCCACGTCACAGTCGATTGATGGAGCTCAATTACAGGTTAGAAGCTCATTCACATTCAATTTCTAAACTTTTGATCTTTGGCTAAGTGAATTGTGAGCACTTTTATTTGCGTGATATTACTGATTCTTTTGAGAATTTCTGTTTGCTTGACTTTTGTTTTTTGGGCTGGAGTGAGGGGGGACGTATAAATATATCACGAATTGGGAGAGAAGTCATGTGTGCAAGGGTGCTGGTGGAAATGGTTTTGCATTCTTGCAGTTTTTTGTTTATGAATTTTCCTTGGAATTGAAATCTATGAGTGCCTTTTCATGGGGACGAGCAAAAATGTTTGTTAAAGTTCTTGTTTGAGGGTTGAAATCATGAATCCAAAATCCTTGTGATTATAGCCTCGAAGTTTTTGTGAAGCCCTCTAGGTACTAAGTAGGGAGAGAGCCACAAGTGAAGAGGAGTGTCAGGTTGCAAAATAATTCTTAGCCTGTATCGCTTTTGGTGTAGTGATAACCAAAGTAAAGTCTTTTCCTCTTTCCTTTTGAACTTATCTGTCAAAAAGGAAAAAATAAAAAATAAAGAGATATTATCTCACATACTGTTTGCTTTCTGGAGAGGTGGATTATATGTCAAAATGAAGAGAATGTTAAAGTATCATTTTTCAGAGGATTGGCTGGAAGTTAGAAAACTTGACCACTTTGTGATCAGATAATATCAGAAGACAAAATGATTGGATTTTATGACTGATTGAACAGGCCAATACATTTAACAATAAAAACTTTCAGTCTATATGTGTGAGGAACAGGCCAACTTAATTGACCTTACATCATATCATTTAGACCTCTTACAGTCTAACTTGAGGCGTGGGTCTTCCTTACGACAAATTCTAGATGCACATTCGTGCCAATCTGAATGGGTCTTGGATGCATCTTGTATCACGTAATTTGAATCATATGCAACTCCAGAATGTTATACCTCTCATTATCATAAGTCAAATATCTGCTTCCTTGTGTTTCACTTGTATAATTATTTTCCTTGTTCTCTCTCAGGAGCAACTTGGGGTGAGCCACCAGGAAATTTTGGCAATTGTAACACACCAGGATTCTCAGATGCAGACACAAAGTCCGGTTCAGTTGGCTGTTTATCCAACTCCGTTGTCAGAACTATCACCAACGTCTGTTACACAATCCATTCAGACTCAGACACAAAGTCCGCTTCAGTTGACTGTTTATCCAACTCCGTTGTCAGAACTATCACCAACTTCTGTTACGCAATCCATTTCATCTGCTCCCAGCCCGATTCTGCTAGAACAAAAACTGCCACCAGAAAAGGTTAATACTTTATGTACACCAGAGGTGGACAAGCAAAATTCTTCTGACCATAAATTTATATCTTCTGTTCCTCTTGTGAAGACTTCTGCTTCTGATGGTTACAACTGGAGAAAATATGGTCAGAAGCAAGTCAAGAGCCCTCAAGGTTCTCGAAGTTATTATAGGTGCACATATTCTGAGTGTTATGCCAAGAAGATTGAATGCTGTGACCACTCGGGCTATGTAACAGAAATTGTTTACAAAAGCCAACATACTCATGAGCCCCCTCGAAAAAGTAACTGCACAAAGGAAAGTAAACTTGCATTATCTGCTGAGTGTGTAAGGAATAGTGTTACAGAACATCCCTGCAGAACAGTTAATGATGCAGAGGTGTCCACATCCTCAAAAGAACGTATTCAAGAAACACCCTCAATTCCTGAAAGAAAACGGCAAAGCCCAAGTGACTCTGATGGTAATGGTGATGTTAAGATCAAGGAGGAGCATGGTGATGGTGATCAACCAGAACCCAAACGAAGGCAAGTTTACTCGTAGATTTTGTTTCCTTTTCTCATGCTGTATTTTGTAACATACTTGTTCAAAGGAGTAGAAATTTACCTGGTTTTGATATACTCTCTGCTTATTGATAACCAGAGTGAAGAAAAGCAACTTAGAGTATTCAACTTCTCTCCTAAAACCTGGCAAGAAACCTAAATTTGTTGTGCATGCGGCGGGGGATGTTGGAATATCAGGTGATGGATACAGATGGCGCAAATACGGACAGAAGATGGTGAAAGGAAATCCGCATCCCAGGTATGCCCATTTCCTTCATCTTTTTTCTTTGTAGCTTGATATATTGACCTAATTAATCAGCATCTGGGGTTCAGATTCAGTATTTTATGTTGTTAAAAGATGTTAGGCATATGTTCTCTTTACATAAACTTCATCTTGCCTTTGTGCTAGACTTATCTGCTTTAAAACTTCATAGTGCGCTTAATTTTTGAAAGATGCAATTGGACGAACTGGAAATTTCAATGATGCAGAGCCTCAGTTATGATTTTCAAAAGAACAACTTAAATGTTCCAATTTGCTTTTGATTCTTAAGCAATGTTAACTGTTTCCATTTTCATTTATTTGCGCTTGCAAGATGCAAACAGAGCAGAAATGACATTGACTAAAGAATGCCTTTTACTTGTTTTGTATTTTGTCTGGTGGCATCTATAATCAAATGAAGCTTTTGATATAATATCTGCCAGTTGTGAGTATCAATTGACAAGAAATAGAAAGTGAATGGAATTTATGCAGAGTGTTAAGAGAGCTCTATTGTTTATTATTATTAATCATGACATATGAACCTCTCCCTTTGGTTGTAATTTGACTCTTTGGTATTATGTATCTGGGGATATGAATATTAAGCTATTTGTAGCTTTAAGTCAGAAAGTGTCTTTTCTCTGCACAGTAATCTTGAGCTGCAGAATTGCCAGCTAAAAGGTTATCGACAGTATCAAATGATGCAAATAATAGAGAATCATTATTGGGTATGCTATGCATGCAGTTGCCTTTAGACTTAAAGGAGTTTGCATATTGCATAAATCTCCGTTGCTTAACATGTGAGCTGTTGAAACCCCACTTAGGAACTACTACATGTATTCCTTTCCTTATGTTTTGATAATTGTATTTAAATTTTTTAGGAACTACTACAGATGCACTTCTGCTGGGTGTCCAGTCCGGAAGCACATTGAAACAGCCATAGATAACACAAGTGCTGTGATTATAACATACAAGGGGATACATGACCATGACATGCCTGTTCCAAAGAAACGACATGGCCCTCCGAGTGCTCCTCTTGTTGCTGCCGCTGCTCCTGCTTCCATGAACAATTTGCATATCAAGAAGACCGATACACACCAAAACCAGATTTCTTCAACCCAGTGGTCAGTGGACACCGGGGGAGAATTGACTGGTGAGGCCTTGGACCTTGGAGGCGAGAAGGCAATGGAATCAGCTCGAACTCTTTTGAGCATTGGATTTGAAATCAAGCCTTGCTGAAAGTTCCTTAGCTGGCCTAAGTACTGATAGAGACCATCATCGACGGGCCTTAGAAAAGCAAGCAGTGTATCTATATAAAATTTTATAAGTTATCACATTGGCAGGTTTGATTTTTTATTTTGATTTTGTTGTGGGTCTCTTTCACCTTTCAGCTGTAGTCTTATAGTTCACAGTTGTGTAGATTTGGTATTTGTACACCCTTGCATATCTTGTGTTGAATAGGTTAATCGCAGTGAAACAGTATAGAAATGGGTGGCATTTTTTTCCGCCTGATGTTTGCAGTTATTTCCTTCAGATCAAGTAGATAAAACAAAATTTAAATGGTCAATTTACTTTGGTTAGAAAACTTGAATAGATTAATTGGGAGAAGTTTTTCTCTTCTGGAAAAGTTGGGATTGTGCTGTTGCTAACAGTACACAAGTCTCCAAGACAATCCATCTGTCGTTATCTCAATTAACCCACCTTGGTAAGATTGGATAAAATAAAATGTTTGAGGCAGAAGGCAGAAGGGTTTCCTAGACAGTAATTAAATTCACACTTGAAAGAGCGGTGGCCCACATTTTTAGGTGAACTTGTTGAGGCAAGAGTGCAAAGATGTCCATCAATCAATTAGCAGTTACCCGTCGCCGGTCATATGGGGTCAAAGACAGAGATATTGTGCTACACCCTTCATTGTCAGTTCGTCACCAAAATGACTCATCAGATGTAGAGTTGCAACTTGCAGCTGTCCAGTCCAGCACATTGCTTAAGGTATACCATCTGGGATATCAACCAGCCCCACCCCACAATTGTCAGGCAAAAGCTAAACCTAGAATGAATCAGATAGAGAAGCTTTGCAGTGTATTTTCTTCTCTTCTTTTTCTTCTTTTTCTTCTTTTTAATGCCCAAATCTGGTTCTAAAGAGATTCTAATTACTAATATCTTAACTGTACAAAAAATTGTATATTAGTTTTTGAAAGCTCTCAAGACTAGAGAAGCCGCACCAACGGCACAATCACCAGTTTTCATTTTAATCCACTTCAGTAATCTACAGAGCGAGAATCCATAATGCTTCAGAATTCATTAATTACACACAAAACCCTCTTCACTACCCAATACAAGAGTAGCTCTGAATCAGTCAATGTGGCAAACTGATGATTGAAACCGGCTGACCAAGGCATTTTCTTTATAAGTCTGAGGAGAAACTCAATTCATCCATGGCAACAGATAAGTCCGATTCTATCCCATTTTCTGTTTTCTTTTCAGCCTCATCCTTGATTCCATACTCTTCCTTCCCTTCCGCTGCGTTTAGGCACTCCTGAAATCTGAAGCAACTAACGAGATGGTCATTTGTAATTCCAGCGACCTGCATGAAAGAATAAATAACAGTTGGCCCCACACTTCGAAATCCCCTTCTCACGAGGTCTTTGCTTATCACATCTGCTTTTGGAGTTTTTGCCGGAACCTGCCGAGGATACCGGAATCTGCTAACTATAGGCTTGTTATTCACAAAGCTCCAAATATACTTGTCAAATGATCCAAACTCTTCTATGACCTGGCATCAGCAAAACCTGCAAAAAGTTAGTGGCAACGATAATCATAGCAATTAAAAAATGTGCAATCATGGATACAGTAAAAGGGTTATTGGATAGTGGTTAATGGTTGGAACTTATCAAGTCAAATACGTGATTCAGGATTAAGTAATGAAGCAAGCTGGCATGTTGAAGAAAGGAATAATTAGGTTGCATGAGCAAATTCTTGAGGTAAGATAGAAGGTCAGGCTGCTGTATGGATGATAGAATTACAATTTTCCCTATATGTGTGATACAAATTACAGAGAGGTGAGGACCACCATTCAACTACTTTTTTCACCTAACCTACCTGATCAAATGATCACTAAGCACCCATTATATGCCATTTAATTGCTTGCACAAACAAGAGAAAACATGTGGTCCCCAGTTTATTTGTGTAAAATTGAGTGAATGAGGCTATTTTGTTTGTAGAAAGTGATGCATAAAATAATTCCACTAGTGCAATTATACTAACAACATGCCACGTTAGTTTTGGCTAAAATTAGGTATCATTGAAAAAGTACATTATACTGGATGCTTACATGCATACGGTTTCTTAGTACTTCCCATATATGAGCTAGTAGTAATTTACTAAGTCTGCACATGTGTGCTTCTTCTGCTAGTCAATCTCATACAACTGGAGGAGGAAATGAGCATTTACCTTGGTCATTTGACGTGCATTCTCAATGATAGCACGCAACTTTAGTTCAGACAATAGGGAACTTGCAGTGCTTCCGGGTGCTATTAGCTTCTTCTCATTCAACTTTGAGATGGCAACGGGATCAAAGTCTGCAAACACTTCCCTGCAAAAAGAAGCTTGTCAATTAATCACATAGAGTGGAAAGGCCATGCAACAGGGAAGGGGCCATCACTAAAAGGCCCCAACCTCTTCATACAGAACATAATTTAGGGTAAGTCAGTTACTATTTAAAAAAGAGAACCTACACAGAAACAGTACCTAAAGATGTGCTTTTTGCTTAGAATGGCAGGCCATGAAAGTTCAGCCAAAGCACCAGATAAGACAAGAAGCTCAAACAGTTTCCTGTATGTGGTCAAGCAGATCAGGAAAATGACTGTGAAGTAGAGTTTTATAAAGTAATCTTCATTTCAATCAACATAGATGCAAATAGTGTTGCTATGACATACTTGTCATCGTGTACTGGAAGCCCCCATTCTTCATCATGAAAAGCAGCATAACATGGATCTGCTTACAACATATCAATCTCGATCAGAATATAAATCTATGAAAGAAGAATATCAAGCCATGTAGAAAATTATATTTGGTTCAACTATCCAAGATGTTTCTCTGGCTATAATACATGTAGTTCTACTTCCACAAGACTTTGCATGGTTATAAGGCTAGCACCCATCAAAAGAAAGAAACCCCCCTAAATGGAAATGAAAATCTTTCAAATTGTTGCCTTCTGGAGTTATATATCTGTTTTCTATCATCCATGACCCAAACAAGTGTGCAATAAATTATTCATAACAAATTGACAATGAGAAAAAATCAATATAATGGCGAAGGGCCGAGTGTAGAATTTCCTGCTTGGACATCAGAAGAACAGTGCATTTATACTCATTTGTTAACTTATACAACAGCTTTGAGGAGAGTAAGTTTTAATCCAATTAAGCCTTAAACATGACTAGTTCCATCAGCAGCGTATTTGAAATTGCCTGTTAAACCCTAATGAGAACCTTATCCTCCCTTAACTTGAAGCTCTTCACTCAAAGGTACAGAATTCTTTGATTTTGTTGGGGAAATATGAAATGCAATGCTGGTCATTTTGGTTTTGAACTGTCGTTAACTTATGTCTTCATTGTCAAGTATAATATAGATTACGAGGGGCATGCGGTGTAAAAATTAAATTGCCTATACTCTGGTGATTTGTGAATTAAATCATGCCAGTCTACTGCTAGTCTGAAACGTGTCACAAGATAATCATATAACAATACCGGGAGGAGCATATATTCTACAAATCTTTATGGTACTTATTACCGGCTAAGAATATATCATGAGAATAATTATACGAAAGGCACATTACTAACTAGAAAGAAATAACCAATCGCTCCAGAAGCAAATATTTTCACCAGGATCAATGAAATAAGAACGAACCAGTATTAGGCGTCACCCAAGCACACCTCTTCTTTGACTGCGAACCATCAGGAGGAGAGTCCAATCCACCATCAGAAACAACACTTCTTGGCTTCGAAACATACTGCTTCCTCCTACTGCCTGCACTATTCGACCTAGTCAGCCTACCAGTAGATGCTCTACTATGAAACGAATCCGTAGAGGCATCCGATGAACATGAAGCATTTAGTGAAAAATTTGAGTGCAATAACTGCTCGTGCCGACGAAGCACTGACGGAACACTGGGAGAATGCAGCTGAGGAGAGGTAGTTAGCATTGAAGATTGACGAGTTTTCTTCTCTTCAGCTGAGGCAACCTTCTCAGCCAATTTCTCAGCCTTTCTCAGTGGTTTTGAAACTGGTTTTCGAGCGCTGAACGTCCCTGCCTTGTTCCCAGCAGGTCCAAGCACTGGCCTTGACTCTGAATCAGCCACATTGATAGACCTTACTCTCGGAGCTCCTGACATTAGTATCACTCCTTTGGCTGAACACCAAATTCTCCAAGGATCTCAGCCTTTTTCCCCACTCAGAATCAAAAGAAAAATAAAATACACACTTCGAATTCAACCAGAATTTGGGTTTGCCCGAGCAGCTAATATGATCCAACAAACCCTCAAATCATCAAAAACCCATCTTGAAAATTCACTAAAACCCAGATTCTTCTTTTACTTTCAAAAGCTCAAACAACCAGAAAGACCCCCAGAGACCCAAAAGTATATGGATTTTACACTTCCACTATGCACATTCATTGACCTTGCTCTTCAAGTTCCCAAAACAGATCTCAACTTTTCAACCACACGAGCCCCTCAAAGTTATACTTCAACCAACCCTTGGGTCCATTCACATTCAAAATTCACCAAGCCAATACTCAACCCCTTCGAAACACCACCTTGCAGAAACCACTAAAACCCCCATTTTTCCAATGCCCAGACTCCAACTTGCCCAAAACCCCTAAGAAAGTCAAGACCCACTCAGAATTCCACAGAAAATAAGTGCAAGAAAAATAGCTTAACCTTTAGGTACCAAAAAACTAGGGCTTTATATACACAGCTCGATTAATTCCCCAAAAAAGATAAATTAGCTTTCAAAGAGCCTCGAAACCCAGAGATTCCCATTCTGCACTTTTGTGGAAAACAGAGCGACTGAAAATATCTAAAAGAGAGAAAAGCAGAGGTTTTTCAAACGAACTGTGTCGTTCGCTCACTACAGCACATGGAAAGAGTAAAGCTGACACAAAGGAAATGAACTCTTTGCAATTCCCATACTTTTTCCGAGAAAAATGACCCAAAGGAAAGTTTCCGAGAAAATGCGGGAAAGCGGGTTTTGTGAGAATTGAAGAGAAAATGGTTTCGATCTTAAGGAATTGAAATTTCTCTCCCTGAATTTGGACAGAGGGAGACAGAATGAGCAGAAGACAGAGAGAGAGAGTGAAAGGTTGTCCTGTTTTATTTATCGTGGGGTGACCTAAAGAGCCGGTGTGAAGTTACATTTTTACCGGCTGTGGCCCGGTTATTTTTGATTGCCTGCCGCGCTGCACACCAAAGTGGAACATTTCAGCTCTAGTGATTTGAAGAATAAGATTATGAAATTAAACCATTTCTTATATTAAATAAAACACTTGACATTCAAAACGTTGAGTTTTGAGCTGGATGAAAATGTATTGTTATTCTACCTAAAACTAATATTTATTAGGAGGAAGCGGTAAGCAAAGCAATCAGCATTGATTATTTTTTTTTTTTTTTTTTTTTTCTAAATACTACGAGGTGTCCCAACACCTGAAGGGTATAATTAATCTTGATTCGGAGTTCGACTTGCCCCTGGCTATAAAGTGCTTTCAACGGGTTTCGAACCTTTGCCATTGAGGCACCAGGTAGCTCTCCAGCTGGAGGTGGCAGTTTGGCATGCAAATGTATAATTCACAATGTTATAACACGTGTGATAACGCTTTCACGTAGCATAACATTATTGGTTGGGGATAACAAACTTAGTACTATTCTTGTTGCTACTAAGTTTTTCTCCAAATTCAAGTACATTTTACACAACGGGCTGAGGCTTTTACTGTTTAACCTGATCACATCAATGGACCACTGCGACTCTTCTGGTAGCCTTTCATGTCTCATTTGGCATGCAAACGCACAAAGACAAAAAGGACCTTAATTACTGCACTTCCTTTTGTCTCTTTGCCTTCCGAACGATCCCATATCATATGCTAATATCGGGCACCTAGCCATGCCTCAGTTTAGTTACAAGCCTGCATTTCGTTGAGTCTCTTATATCATTTTGACGCCATTGATGGATTACCTTGGTCTGGAAGCATTGCTAGTTTAATACTTCGACCAAATATTTATTTATTTATTTAATATAAAAAGCAACTTGGTTAGCATGCGATTCGATCCACAAATATGGACTCGTTTAATAATGTCCACCAGACGGAGATCATCAGATCAGCTTCAGCTCCTGTGAGAGCTGTTCCGATTGACTAAACCTAAGGTGGTTACAACATAAATGTAGAAAACGAGAAACAACAATGACATTGGAGCGCATTAGAACCCAACGTAGTCTTCAAGATTTAGATAGAAATCCCATGTGTTTCTCATCCAACATTCGCAAAAATAAAGCAAATTATCTCAGGATCTCAGTGTATTTATAATAAAGTGCCCTATGTTTTGGAATTTGACATTATCAAGAGCAACAACTAAACTGTCTTGACTTGAATCTTCTGGAGGATTGTGAAGAACTGGAAAACCAACTGCTCACAGGATCCGGAAATGGCAACTGCAAGTACCCACATAAACCAGCAGTAAGTGACATAAAATACTATGCACTGTTAAAAGATGAAAAAGAACAAAAGAGGTGGGTTGAGCATGTGTTATTTTGATTAGCACGGAAAGCTTTTGGCTGGGGACAAAGGAAAACAGAATCTCAGACCATTTCTCACCAACCAAACTTGACAAACTATCTACCTTTTATATTTTTTTTCCTTCTTCATTCTTACCAAGAATATGATGGCATAAAGGTTTTCTATAATATCATTCTAGGTTGGATGTTAGACTCAGAAGAAAGGTTAAGAGTAATTCAATGTAAGTTGACGAATAATGGCAATTTACTGCAAAAAGCCATCAAATATGTATTCTGGGAAAAATCACGTTCTTCCTTCAAGCATATATCCATTGAAAGATGGACATCACAGAAGTTTAAACTTATCCCTGGTATCTTATGACCCTCAAAGGCACTGTTATGAAATTTTAACAGATGCCCTAACAAAGGAATTATAACAATTAGTTAATTCATCAAAAAAGAAAAAGAAAAGAAATGAGTCATACCCCAGCAGACCCCTGCCTTGCCATGTTCTAGGTGTCACCGTTAAGTTGACTTGAGCACCTTGCCTTACAAGTATTACAGGTATCCCATGGCCCTGATTAGTTTGAGCCTCAGAAGCAAGTCTCTGCAGCAAATTATCACCAATTTCCACATTGCCGAATTTAACAATCTGATCTCCAAGCTGTAAACCATCTTCTCCTGCTGGCGATGCATCAGCTATCTCATCAACCAACGCAAAGGGTACTCTCACAATCACGTCCACATCCATGGGATTGGTAGAATCACTATGAACATTAGTTGAGGATGCAGATGCAACAACGTTGACAACTGATGCGCTTTGGTCATCTGACATCTCATCATTACCGGAAAAATTAGACAAAAATGCAGTTTTCACATATCTTGATACACAGTATAATCAATATTTAGCTACCAGCTCCAGCTTGTAATAATAAAATTTAATGCTAAACTTAAAAAATAAGAAATGTGCATGCATCACTGAACGCCAATGAATCTCAAACTTCTCACAATGCACAGGGACCCACACAGACCCTCAATACATTTCAAATCCGACAACAGATAAAACCATAAACAATTTTTCCTACCCGATTCTCCCAATAAATCTATACGTATGATAATATGCATTGCAGGTTCCAACCTCCTACCTGAATCTCTGAGGGATGATGATTTAGGAGCAAGCCTTGCTGAGTGCAGAACTTGTATATTTTCGTTCAAAATCTCTGTAATCTCTTTGTGATCATTTCGCAATTCTGCAATTACAATAAAGACCACAAATAAAAATATGAGTATGAATTGGACAACTACTAACAAATACCCACATCAGCACCATTAGAAGCAGTAAACAAAGCTCCACAATCAATACACAACTGAAACTGAGCAGGGGTATGCAAAGCTCCACAATCTGAGTGTGTACCAGTATTCGCAGTGAAAGAATGCATTATTTATTGCGAATAATTTAATAAATGTAACTCAAAGAAAATCCACGACTAAAATATTCTAGTATACCAGCAAGACGACGCCTTTCCGCTCGCACGGTTGGGATGTCAATATCGTGACGGGGAAAACCCTACAGATTAGAAGAAGAAAAGGAAACACCAAAACCCTAAATCCCCAATTTTATTGATTAAAATAATGCCTTATTAAAAAAGGAAAATAATAATATATAAAAAAGGTCGACCTCGGAGTCAAGGAGGTTGCCGGAGATTCCAGGGCCACCGGGTTGCGTAAGACGCTCGATGACGGCATTCATCTCCGCCTCTAGAGCACTCCTCTTCTCCATCAGACCCATCGTCTCCGCTTTCAGATTCGTCCCCACCATTTTTCTTCTTTTTCTTTTCTTTTCTGTATTTTGGGTAATTTTACCAACGCCTTCTTCTTTCTTCTTTTCTCACTAGTCACTACTGATACGAGACTGGAAGAGAGAGAAGTCAGAAAGCAAAGCGATGCGGGTAAGGGTCGTTTGGGTAAAATCAAATTACGGTGCACGTGAAGCGCACGTGCATCATTCTGGACTACTACAACATGAGGATTGGGCTGGAGGTTGGATAAACCCCATGGGCTTCAGGTAGGCCCATTGGGCTCGGTGAACTATCTGAGCCCAAATAATAAAATAAATAAATAAAGAAAATACCCTAAAACTAAAAGTAAAAAAATGAAATTTAAAAACGTTGGCTCTGACTATTATCATCTAGACGCTGGCTCAATATAAATACGCAGGACTCGCACCACTGGAAAAATGGTGGCTATTGTTGTGTCCCTGGCGTCTACGCTTATTGCTGTTACTTCACCTTCATATTCTTCCTCGTTCTTGACGAAATTACGGTCTTCCCCAAGTTTGCGACTTTCTTTAGCAGTTACACCCCTGTGTTCTCGCAGAGGGAAGCTCATGGCTCACACTCTTGCTCGGGCCACTCTCGGCCTCACTTTCCCTTCTTGCCTTGACGCCCCAAAGGTCTATTTCTCTCCTCGATTTTCTTCAAATTTCAGTATATCTATGTTCGCCACTGGACGATTGTCATTTTGTTGTTGTTTGGGGTTAGTTTATAAAAATTGATTTTGGTATGTGAGTTCGTGACTACTTAGAGCTATTGATTGTTGTTCTTTTTAGTTTTGATGAAATTTGATGGATTTGGTGGGCTTTTATATCTGTAAAGTTTCGATCTCTGTATGTGCGGTGTTATATTTTTTTTGTTTACTTGATTGATTTTATGAGATAAAAGCAGTAAATGATTTATTTTTGTTTTTGGATTTTGGATTTTGTTGTAGGGATCAAGTAATTATTTGGCTGTTATGTTTTATAGATACATAATTCGTGTACAATTTGATTGATTATTATGGGTTAAATTGAGCAAGAACTTAAATTCTGTTGAACTGAAATATCACTTGTGTGTTTGTGTCAATTCCTGAAGATCTCTTTCGCTGCAAAAGACATCGATGTAACGGAATGGAAAGGAGACCTACTTGCAGTTGGCGTCACAGAGAAAGACTTGGCAAAAGATGAGAACTCCAAGTTTCAAAATTCAATCTTGAAGAATCTAGATTCCCGTTTGGGTGGTCTCTTGGCTGAAGCCTCTTCTGAGGAAGACTTCACAGGAAAGTCTGGCCAGTCAACAGTTGTAAGGCTTCCAGGTCTTGGATCAAAGAGGATTGGCTTGTTTGGGCTTGGACAATCTGCTTCATCTACAGCAGCTTTCCGAGGTCTCGGGGAGGCTGCAGCGACAGCAGCAAAGGCTACTCAAGCAAGTGACCTTGCTGTTGTGCTTGCCTCTTCCGAGGGGCTTTCTGCAAAATCTAACACAGCTTCTGCAATAGTATCTGGTACTTTGATCCACTATTCTTTTATTCTTAATTGGTATTTAGTATTCTGATATAGTAATAGTTGTGCTAAACATGTTGAAATGGCTTTGACTTGTTGTAGGAACTGTGTTGGGGATTTATGAAGATAGTAGGTATAAATCAGAGTCGAAGAAATCAGCTCTAAAATCTGTGGACATTCTTGGTCTTGGAACTGGACCTGAAGTAGAGAAGAAGCTCAAGTATGCTGAAGATGTTACTTCTGGAATAATTTTTGGGAAAGAACTAGTAAACTCACCCGCCAATGTTCTTACACCTGGTTTGTATGATCTAATTTCTTGCAGTTGTTATCCTTTAACGTCACTGTTAGTTGACAGGCACTTTCTGCATTTAGTTCATTAACCAACAAAAAAAAAATTCTGTATTCTCCTTAGTGTTGCCATTTTCCTGGCCTATACTTGTAGTTTCCCATTTTGTTTCATCAGTCCATGTTCATCGAGGTATTTCCTATTGTTGACTGTAAGTGATGATTATTGTGTCTCAGGGAAACTTGCTGAAGAGGCCTCAAAGATTGCTTCCACGTACAGTGATGTTCTATCTGCAAAAATATTAAATGAAGAGCAATGCAAAGAACTGAAAATGGGCTCTTATTTGGCTGTTGCTGCAGCCTCAGCAAATCCTCCACATTTTATTCACTTGATTTACAAACCCCCGGGTGGACCTGCTAAGGTCAAATTAGGATTGGTTGGTAAAGGGCTGACCTTTGACAGGTGATTGCAGATTATTTAGAATGAACTTGTCCCTAGTTCTTTTCGCTCTTGCAAATGTAGAACAGCTTTGCTTTAGATGCGGGTAAATTTTTGTGGTTACAATGTGTCTGTGGTAACGGGAGTAATGACTGAGTTTAATGGTTCATATCATGGTCGTATGATGTCTTTTAAGTATCCAAGAATAAAGTGTTAAGCTAGTCTTTTGTACTCCTCTCATATTGCCTATACCATTTCTCTGAATGATTTATAATTCTCTCTTTCCTAATGCTATTGTTTCTCTCATTTCCATGTCACACTGATAGAAGTGAGTTGGTGTTTTTTTGAAATAAAAAATTGACAATACTCTTTTCTATATATCAATGTGCTGACACTAGTCTTTTATAGTTATTGATTTTATCTTTTTATGTTATCAGTGGTGGCTACAACATCAAGACAGGGCCTGGCTGTTCAATTGAACTCATGAAATTTGATATGGGAGGTTCCGCAGCTGTATTAGGTGCAGCAAAAGCCATTGGTCAAATCAAACCTCCTGGTGTAGAGGTGAGCCATTGTGTTTTCCATGTTTTGTTGTGGAGAAAGATGCACGATTGACCCATTTGTGACTTTTTAATCCTCAGGTTTCAGTTTTTTAGTGATTAAATTGGTGATGTACACCAGTATGGATCAATAATGGATCTTGTGTATGCAGGTTCATTTCATTGTTGCAGCTTGTGAGAACATGATAAGTGGAACAGGTGTGAGGCCTGGAGACATTGTGACAGCATCAAATGGAAAGACAATTGAGGTATGGTTTTTGTGGTTGTCAGAAATGCACACCATCTCAATGATGAGGTTAACTGACTAATTGGATCATAATTCAAAATGTGCTAAACATAACATGAAGGAATATATTACACCTTATCTTCAAGGTGAGTAAATATTTTTTCAATTGACGAGATGTCTAATAGGCTCATTGGATCATAATTCTGAAAGTGCTCCATAACATTAAGGATCATACATATATAATTTTGTATACTAAGCTGTGCATCCATGTTCTTATAAACTAAAGTTCTATTTGCTTCAATTTCCGTCACAGGTCAATAACACTGATGCTGAAGGTAGACTTACTCTGGCAGATGCATTGGTATATGCTTGTAACCAAGGTGTTGAGAAGGTATTACTGTGGTGATGCATCTTGGCTATGCATTTTGTATCTGTAATGTAGGTGTTAATTGTATCTTGTGTTAATTGGATTTAAAATTGTGAAATTCTAGCCAAAGTTAATTTTTTTATACTTTCCTGATGTTTGATATTGTTGAGGTTCCTTAATGTGCTCATTTGGCTTTACATAGGAAAAAGAGTTTAGCTTTTCACTGATTTTTCTTGCTGCAAATTAGGTGAATAATCTAATTACTGACTAGGATTCACTTAGTAAAATGGTAGTTTTGTTATATTCCACATTTTTCATTTCATTCTGCATTATATGTTGTATTTTGTATTTGTGGCACATTAAATTTTATGAAGAGCACAGATGCACGCTGCTCTTTGTAATTAATTTATCATTAGAATTGTTTGATGCCTACATGCTGCTTAGATGTATAATACTGATTTCTGGTACTGCTAGTGCTAACACCATCATATTATGCAGATTGTTGACCTGGCAACCTTAACTGGTGCCTGCGTAGTTGCTCTTGGACCCTCAATAGCAGGTATGTGCATATTCTTTGAAGCAGTGTTATATTATTGAATGAATCAGGAAAATGCGATGATGCTTAGAGTGGGCTTCTAAGTGATGCTTATTGGAGTAAACTACTCATTAAAATGAAGTTAAATTGATAAAATAAATAAGATTCACATTACTGGTTCTGCACATAACAAGGTTTAAGCATCAAAGATTATGTTTGCAATCTCTTGTGTCATTGTCATGGGGGCCCTTTAATTTGTATTTAATATGTTAATACGCTTTGAAACTCTTCTACAACTTGATGGATTGCTAATTGTTTATGCGATGTTAAAACTTTTCCTTCTAGGTGTCTTTACACCTAGTGATGACCTGGCAAAAGAGGTATTTGCAGCTTCGGAGCTCAGTGGGGAGAAATTTTGGAGGTTGCCATTGGAGGAGAGTTATTGGGAGTCGATGAAATCGGGAATAGCTGATATGGTCAACACGGGTGGTCGTCCAGGTGGTTCAATAAGTGCTGCTCTCTTCTTGAAACAGGTATATGATTTCATAATTTTATTGTCTCGGTTTGTGCCTGTTGTGTCACTTCCTTAGTTTGATCATGTTTGTGTTCTGTTGTGTCACTTCCTAATGATAAATGTTTTTTACTATGCTTTTGTAGTTTGTTGATGAAAAGGTTGAGTGGATGCATATTGACATGGCTGGGCCTGTTTGGAGTGACAAGAAGCGCACTGCTACAGGGTTTGGTGTTTCCACTCTGGTGGAGTGGGTTCTGAAAAACTCTGCTTAGGTGGCTGAAGCCTGAAGCATCCATCGGGAGAAATATTACATCAGCATCACCAGCTGAGGGAACAGAGGCATTTTGATGGGGTTCCTTGGTGCCACAACTCCCGTTCATGAATAAAATGTGCAGGAAAAGAAATGGAAAGGTTATGGATCCAGGCATGATCTTTTTCCAGTTTTACTGAGATGGGTTGCGACTCCTTGATATCTTTCTTGGAAGGGTCTATTTAATTTCTCGGACTCTGTGATTATTTGTTTTCCTGTCCCTAGAACACCAAAAAAAAAGAAAAAAAGAAGCGTGGTGAGTAAAGATGTAATTTATTTCCCTTACCCTAGAACAAAAATGAAAAGAAGAGCTCTTGGTTGCTTTTTGAAAGACGAGTTTTATTCCTGGGCCATGATATTTGGTATCGAGGCAGATCTCACGCCACTGCTAAAATAACGCATGGGGGCGGAAGTGTTGTGGTGGATTCTCATCTTCCAAATGCCTCCCATCAACAACATATTGCTTTACCAAGTACAATGAAAATGAAATTATAGCGTTCTTATTTTTCTAAGCAAAGCCTAAAAAAGATGAGACTTAGAACTCTCGTCCTAAATATATGCAAGGTAAATTACATACTAAGTTGCCATTGAAATGAAACTTAAAAGTTTGTGTTTTCCGAAACTTTAATAAAAGGAAAACTCCAACGTTTATCAAACTTTGCTCAAATTCAAATCTGCCATAATTATAAACCCATAAAAAATTGGAAAAATAAATAATTACCATGACTTGCTACTGGTTTGCTAGTTACTGAGCTTTACACGTGGTAGCAGGCGTCGTGTTTTATGACCTGGTTACCAGCGGTCAAAACCCACTTTAAAACCTTTGACAAAATCCTCTCGGTTCAGACATAATTGAGTTTGAGTCTCTCTCTCTCTCTCTCTCTCTCTCTCTGCTTCTTCTTTTGCATTTTAATATTTGAGCTGCGTCATATCTTTCTCTGTTCGCAGAATCTGCTCCCTGAGCTTACAAGAATGGAATAGACCACCTAAACCTTCTAGGTTTCTTCTTTGTGGAAGTGGAAGTGGAACAATATTGTAGTGATCATGTAGGACACACAAGGGGCAGGCAGATATTTGCACCAGAAGAAACAAAATGAGTGTTTCTTTGACTGTGATGACCTTCAATCTTCATGAAGATCAGACGGAAGATAGTCCTTACTCATGGGAAAAGAGAAGGGATTTGTGTATAAGCGTCATTACTAGTTATTCTCCAATGATTCTATGTACCCAACAAGGTATCTTTGCCTCTGCTTTCATAGCTGCTGTTTGCGTATGGATCTTACTTTGTCGTTGTGATTTGCTTGGATTGGTCATCTGGGTTTCTTTTCATTTGTGTTTTGGAGGCGGGTTTTTGTTCTTTTAGGATTTAGCTTAGTTTCACAGTTGACACATGAGTTATCTTATCTGGGTTGAAGGCTTCTTATTTTACTTGGTCATGTTCATTCTTTCACAGGATGATTGAATTGGGGAATATAGTTGGTGTCTTGGATTACGTTTTTAATTGTTCAAAATGCCTGATTGTTATACTGTAATTTGGATGTTAATATAATATTTGGTATGTTTCTTGCTTCTGAATGTTTTTTTGTATCGGTTTCTGTTTCAGGAGTTAAATCACAATTGGATTATCTTCACCAGTGTTTGCCAGGTAACTTGCTCTCCAATAAGTTAAATTTTCATTTCCTAAAGTTAGCATCGGTATTTTTTTTTTCATATGGCTGAGGAACGGAGGGTTTAGCCCTGCGCTTTAATGCAGTGTTTAAAAAATGACCAGATGACCGAACATTTTACTGCTGGCTTTCTTGAATGCATGCTTCAATTGATTGTTTCTTCTGGAGAGTGGTTCATAAGGCCTAAAGGTCATGTTTCTTTTTGCTTAATTAGGAAAAGGATTGCAATTGAGTTGGTGAAGCTTCGCCTTATTTCACATTTATATAATGATCTCTTTCTTGACAGTTTGACAAGAGAGCATTATTATTTATGTATTCTATGCACACACATAACGGTGTCAGCCAGTTTGTTTACCTATAACTTAACCATGCATAAAATGAAAAATGCTCGTCATTGTTTCTTCTATATTGTGTTGTTCATGTTCTCACAAACAAGATTATTTCAGTGTTTCACACTGATCCATTTTCAAGAACGGTTTGCTGGCATCCATTTGTCATTATCCGATCTCTCCTCATCTTTATCTTTTCCACTTCTGATTGGACTTTTGTATCTTATTCGATAGGTTATGATCAATTTGGAATATCAAGAAAAGGACCTGAAGACACTTCTGATGAACATTGCACCATCTTCTATGACAAGGAGAAGGTATAATTCCTTTTCTTGCAAGCTAGAATAACTTTCTACTGTTTTCATTTGTCAGAATAATTTGCAAAGTGGGGCCTCTTTATGCCATTCCTTTATAAAATGAAGGTGGAGCTGCTTGAAGGTGGAACATTTTGGTTGTCTGAGTCACCTTCTGTGCCTGGAAGCATGTCATGGGGCTCCGTAGTTCCATGTATTGCAACGTGGGTGATATCCTTACCATATTACTTTCTCAAACTTTAATAATCTTCACTAACTGCTTTAACCTTTCTATGGAAGAGTGCTATATCATTTGTTTTCTTGACATGATGTCCACACATTTCAACTGAAAGGAGTTGAGCCACCTGGGTTTTCATTCCAGATAGTAAATACAAACATGGATGAGTTCAGTCCTCGTGCCCGTAGGCGAAGTGCTTTGCTCACATGGCAGCACATCGCATCCTTACCACCTAGCCTGCCAGTTGTATATTGTGGAGGATTCAACACACAAAAGGAATCAACAGCCGGGCGATTTCTTTTGGGGAGATCAAGGTTCCATTAACATGAGGATATTCAACTGTTTTTATATGCACCAGCTGTTAATTCCATATTTATTACAAGTTGCCATTTAAAATAATAATTAAGAGCCCATATGCATAGGAAACTGAAGAGTGTAAAGTAAACCACAAAAAAATAAAGGTTAGGGATTTTGGAAAACAGATATGACACTTTAATGCTTTTGTGAGCTGCCATATTTTTGAAAGGAGCATCCTTCATTTGCTACTCTAGTTAAAGTAGTACTTCATCATGGCAGAAATCTTAAGACACCTCATTCTATTGTCCTCTTTCTGATCCCCTCTCACTGTTGCAAACCCACTAGACCCGTTTTGGTTTTTACCCCTGGCTTTTTGTTTGGTGGATATGATTTTCATTAAGAATTGGTAGTACCGAATTCATCCTACTTAGATATATTGTGAGAAAAATTTATATGCTAGTCTCTTTCTGGTAGGAAACTCACCAGATAACTGGTCGCTTTTGTCTAAAATCTTTGTTCTTCTTTAGTAATTCTTTTCTCTTGGCTTGCCTGCAGAGAGCACGGTGCAGTTGGGGATATGAGGGATACATGGCCTAATGCCCGTGTGAGGAAAAATGTCTCTCTTATTCGCACTTTTCATGGATTTAAAGGTACCTACTATGCGACTACTACTCTCAATGCTGCTCATTGAGCATGACCTAACTCTATAGCACGTGATGCTATCAGGTGACAAACAAGGAGCTCTTGAATTCCTCAAGTTGATTTTCAGAGCCCTCTGCCTTTGTTGGGATCGCCAAACACAGGATCTGCACATAGATTGGATTCTTTTTAGAGGTAGATCTCTTATTCCTGTTCTGTGTGAAGTGGTGAATGATAACATTGATGGATATTATCCATCCTCCCACTATCCCATATTTGCTGAGTTTCTGCTTCCTCGTACTGTGAGAGTGCTTGACCCACCTGCTCGTGAAGAAATTTGATATGCATCTGTTTTGAACCACCACCTCCCTATTTTTCTGCTCTGAGCATTGAAGATCTTGTTCATAATTGATGGGATTTAAGTAGTGTTATTCTATGTACAATTTTTTCAACTCTTAATTGTTATACAGAGATCTTCAATTTCCTCTAAGGTGCATCAAAAGAGGTTGTGGATGTAATTTCATTTTCATTTTCAAGTGTATGACCTTACGTACTATCGCTTTTACCCTCGAGTTTAATAGAATGGAATTTGATTTACTCCTAGTGGAGTCTTCTTTCTAAGCCTTTGTAAATGCTCATTGAACAATTCTTTAGGAAATGCCCTTGTGCCGCACTATGAATTGTTTGGATAGTGAGAAAATTCCCCTTCTTCATTTTCGATTAATGAAAAAAGCAAAGAAGTTTATTGCGGTGGGTTAAAATTAAGCAGGGTTAGTACCTGATATTTTACATTTCAAGCAAAGATCTGGTCAAGGTTGGTTCTTGCTTTTGGCTTCATCAAATTACATTATCAAAAGTTAAAACCATTAACAAAGCAACGAAGAATTTTAGGTTTTCATACAGGAACTTATACGCTTTGTATACAAAATAAGCAAAAATGAAAACTACAAAAGCTCCAAGGAGGTCAGAGTCTACTATTTAGGATTTATATTCGAAACATAGCGAATTATCAGTGAAATATGATCATAAAAATGAATAATACTACTCTTACCACATTTGTATACCGCATCTTTATACCATCTTATGTGGCAGTTGAAGTGGACAGCCACATCAATTAAAATTATTTAATATTTTCTTTTCTTTTATGATTTATTTCAGTATTTATTTTTCTACTTGCCTTAATTAAAATACACTTCATTAATTTAATTGATGTGACATATAAAATGAATACGCCACATCACGTGGTATAAAAATGTAGTAAGTGTAGCATTACTCAATAAAAATTAAACTTAAACAAAGTCTTTTTTGAAATGCCAATGATGTTAAAGAGTAGGGAATTAATTAAACACAAGAAGTCAGTGCCGAACGACTTGAATTTCAAGAACTCAAACCAATGACTTTTTTTGCCTACACTCAAAAGTGCATCGTTTTAATTCACAAGCAATATACAAAGAATAGAACTTTGACTAGGAGAGAGAGATAAGCATGTTGTTTATGAGAAAACTTGTAATCACCGTCAGTCCGTCAGTCCGTCAGTGAAGTCCAAGCCAATCTCCACCGCACATCAGAGCCACGCAACAGATCCAACGGCGATAACGAGATTTCAAATGGTCAGCCTCGTCTTGTAAATCCCCCAATTCCCAACCCAACCATTTGGAGCGCTGTCTCGTTCTTCTCGTGTGTTTTATAAGCAACAAAAAACCAACCACTGTGTGATACATTGATACAATCACACCAACATACAGAGTCCCAGAGTCGGAGAGAGAGAGAGAGAAAGTGCAAGTGGATCTAGATCTTGTGCGAAGAAGCCATGGCGAGAGGACCTCTCGCTTTTCAGCTATGGATCTCTGTGTGTCTTTTGCTCTTCTTTCGTGCTCGCTGCTTCTATCTCCCTGGTGTTGCCCCTCAAGATTTTCAAAATGTCAGAATCTTTAACTCTGTATCTCTCTGCATATATATATATATATATATGTATGTAATGAACCTCTGTGTTTAATTAAATATATACCATGATGGTTTTTGGCGCTTGTTTCCTAGTTACACTCGGATCCGTGTGAAGTTTAACATTTGGGTGTTTACAATTTCGGGTCTTTTGGTGAAACCTTTTATAAATCTGTGATTTTATGACGCTGTTAATTGAGATCTAAGTTCAGTTTGCTGCTTTTCTGTGTGTTTTTGGCTTGGAACGTTGTTAATCTCTGTTGGTTTCTTATATTGCGTGAACTTCAGATTGACATATATGTTTTCGATTACAGCAATGCCAATATATAGATGCACATTTATAAGTACAGTCCTAATTTGTCAAATTTTTATTTTTCTGATTCGTTTAGTAAGTCTTAGAGCTTGTCTTGTCGTCCAAATGATGGATATGCAATATTTGAGGAAAAGAAAACGCTATGATGTGTTGAATAGCTTTGATAAACTGAAATATTTTCTCAACTTTGCAATTGGGAAAGAAACGATAGAGTATGGATATTAGTAACGAATAAAAGCGTTTGAAAGGAATCATTCAGTGGACTTCCTTTTGTGTGATAGTAAGGAATTATGCTCACCTAGGATGACCACTGACTCTGGTGACCTGAAATTGTATGGATTATTTTAATCTACAATTGTATCCATGCTGTTTGGACCTTCATATGTGCAGGGAGATCCATTGAATCCGAAAGTGAACAAAGTAACCTCTACAAAAACTCAACTTCCTTATTCGTACTATTCCCTCCCATACTGTCGTCCAGAGCATATAGTTGACAGTGCAGAGAATCTTGGGGAAGTTCTTCGCGGTGATCGTATTGAAAACTCTCCTTACGAGGTAAAGTAGCTTTTAAAGAGTATTACTGTTATGCTTGTGTTGTCCTTCACTTTGATTATTGACCTGCTAAGAATTTTATTTTATTTCTTGTTGCAGTTCAAAATGAGAGAACCACAGATGTGCAATGTTGTATGTCATGTAACTCTTAATGCAAAAACTGCAAAGGAATTTAAGGAAAAGATAGATGATGAGTATCGGGTGAACATGTGAGGCACTGATTATGAAGATTATACATATGATGCTCCTCCATGATGAAAAGTTGACTTCATTCTGATATTTTTTGTCAAATGACAGGATTCTGGATAATCTCCCTCTGGTTGTTCCTATACCAAGGCCTGATCAGGAAAATTCCTTAGTGTATCAACATGGCTTTCATGTTGGTCTCAGAGGGCAATATGCTGGGGTAGCTGTTGGACCAATTAGCATTCTATATATGATCTTAATTCTTTTGGTGATGTTCTTATAGAAGAGTTCTGATTTTTCCTTTTTTTCCCTCAAAACATGTACAGAACAAGGATGAAAAGCATTTTATCAACAATCACTTAACATTTACAGTCAAGTATCATAAAGATCCAATGACAGAATCTGCCAGGATTGTGGGATTTGAGGTGAAACCATTCAGGTATGTATTTATGATTCTTTTCTATCATAGTCTAATTAGTTTGTTCTATTTTCTCTCTGCAATGCAAGTTCATACCTGTGTGATGATAGTGAATATTGATGAATGCAGTGTTAAGCATGAATATGAAGGTGAGTGGAGTAAGAAGACGCGAATAACAACTTGTGATCCCCATGCAAAGCGCACAGTTACCAGCTCTGAATCTCCTCAGGAGGTTGAAGATAAAAAGGAAATTATATTCACCTACGATGTTGAGTTCCAGGTTGGTGACCTTGCCCATTCCTAAGAAAAGACTTCTTTGTTTGCCTTTTTGAGTTGGGTTTCAGACATCGCCCCTCTTTGATATTTTTGCCTTTTATTTAACCTTATAGGAGAGTGATGTGAAGTGGGCATCTCGGTGGGACACATATCTTCTGATGGCTGATGATCAAATCCACTGGTTCTCAATTGTTAATTCTTTGATGATTGTTCTTTTCCTATCGGGCATGGTGGCTATGATCATGTTGCGGACACTTTACCGGGATATTTCCAAGTACAACCAACTAGAGACCCAAGAAGAAGCCCAAGAGGAGACGGGATGGAAACTGGTTCATGGTGATGTATTCAGACCTCCATCAAACTCAGATCTACTGTGTGTGTATGTTGGGACAGGTGTGCAGTTCTTTGGGATGATTCTTGTCACCATGCTCTTTGCAGTCCTTGGATTTCTATCCCCCTCAAACCGAGGTGGGTTGATGACTGTCATGCTCCTCCTTTGGGTCTTTATGGGTCTCTTTGCTGGGTACTCTTCAGCCCGTCTCTATAAGATGTTTAAGGGAACAGAATGGAAGAAAATCACTCTCAAAACAGCTTTCATGTTTCCTGCAACTGTCTTTGCCATTTTCTTTGTCTTAAATGCTCTTATCTGGGGAGAGAAATCCTCTGGGGCAGTGCCCTTTGGAACCATGTTTGCTCTGGTATTCTTGTGGTTTGGAATTTCAGTTCCACTTATATTCGTTGGTGCATATGTGGGATTTAGGAAGCCAGCAATTGAGGATCCCGTTAAAACCAACAAGATCCCTAGGCAGGTCCCGGAACAGGCATGGTACATGAATCCAGCCTTCTCTATCCTAATTGGAGGCATACTCCCATTTGGGGCCGTCTTTATTGAGCTCTTCTTCATCCTTACATCTATCTGGTTGCATCAATTCTATTACATATTTGGGTTCCTTTTCATCGTCTTCATTATCCTCATCATCACTTGTGCTGAGATCACAATTGTGCTATGCTACTTCCAGCTGTGCAGTGAAGACTACCTTTGGTGGTGGAGGTCGTATTTGACCTCAGGCTCCTCCGCACTCTACCTTTTTCTCTACGCTGCCTTCTACTTCTTCACTAAGCTTGATATTAAGAAGCCAGTATCAGGAGCCTTATATTTCGGGTATATGCTGATTGCTTCTTATTCTTTCTTTGTGCTGACTGGTACTATCGGTTTCTACGCATGCTTCTGGTTTACTAGGCTCATCTATTCATCAGTGAAGATCGACTGATTAGTAGTCCTACTATGAAGGAAACGGTTCATTTGTTCTGCACGAGTAAGCATGGAATTCACCTTGATGGTACTTGTAGAATGTCCTCGTAGAGCTACCAACTGGGTTCAATTTTGAATCTTGAGTCATAGAAATTCTTATTCTTAGCCTTTCTCTATACAGGTTCTTCGTCAGTCGTAGTTCTTTTTGTTTATTTGTTCTTATATCAAGTCTTATTTCTGTTCCATACGGTAACACTTGAGAGAATTGTCAATCTTCTTGTCGTGAATGGCTCAATGCCCATTCTAGGAATGAAATTGGAATTCCTGTTGTACCTAACACTGCTACTGCTACATTTGTTCTTTGTCGTGTCAAATATATCTTTGGAGATCTGAGGCCTACAGTGGCTGGTGGGTGCATGAAGGCTTTTCAGCCATTGATAGGGGCCCACTGATGGCATTGGCAGCATTCTCCTTAGAGATTTAGCTAATTTGTTTTGTGAAAAAAGAATAAAGTGCAATTCCCTGACTAGTTTGTTTCGGTTCTTTAATATGAACATCGTAAACTTCCTGTACAAAGAAAAAATTTGCAAGCAATTTCAGGCTTTCTGTAGGGTTTTCAACGTATCTGTGTCAAATGATAATAATAAGGTAACACATTTTTTTTATATAAAAAATTCGCTCAATAGAAAACAAGTATGAAACATCAGTTTTAACATTCTTCACGTTTCCAGCTGGAATTTGTGTATAATACATTGTTTCTGACCACCTAGAAAATAGAAACTAATCAGTTGAACGAGTCATAATATATTACAGATCAATCAGCACTTTCAGCACTAAAATCAGGTTCTGGAGGCTTTTGTAATTTGACCAATTCTCGAGCACTCTTTGCATTCCTATTTCGGTGAACACCACGAAGTGCATTGGCAGCAAACCTGGAAGCTAAAAACGTGGCACCAATGCTATATGAACCTCCTGCATTGCTTCGTACACCTCCAAACACTTCTGTTTCTCCTTCCTCTTCCTTCCGGCGAAGCTCCATGTTTTTCCTCTTGGAATAACGACGCCATGCTGCTTGAATAAAGCAAGCAGCCCATGTCCGCCACTGCTGCGAGTAGAAACGGAAGGTGTGCTGAACCTGCCTACTGTGAAGGCGCCTAAACTGACTGGCAACAAATTTCAACTCTTCAGCCACAAGGGCAAAAGCCTCAACCTCTGTCAAAGCCCTTACCGTCCTAGTAGATGACGGTAGGTTAGAACCAGATTTTGGATCCAGCGCCCAAGTCAGAAGTTCCTCCCCACAGAAATCACCTTCTTTCAGTAAACTGCGGTTAAAAAACCCACTCCTACCCCCATCTGTTGTTACACTCTCCAGGCGACCACGAATGATGAAAAGCATCTCATCAACTGGATCTCCTTCTCGAACTATGTAAGTACTCTCTGTGAATAAACTTGGTTTCAGTCTCTCACAAATAGCATCAAGCAACCTCTCATCCATATTCTCAAACAGAGGAACCTGCAATAACCAGCAAAGTAAAAGGTCGATACAATAGAAAGGCAACCGAAATAAATTTACAAATAAGCAAAGCTAACTTCATCTAAAGGAGCAACCAACAAATATGCAAGCAATTACCACTAGAATTATACACAAAGCATGAAGAATTACTAATCATACCCTCCTCACTAACGCCAAACAGAGGTGCCGTTTAATATCTCTCCTAAGATCCTTTGGTAGACTCTGAACCAAACTCTGCTCGTCCACCCCACGTGTTTCCAACCACTTATATTGATCATATCGCCTAACACGTTCCCTTAGGTCTTGTGGGAGCAAGCGGTGATGCATCCACTGCTCTGAATCACGTCTTTTGACCCTCATCTCCTCAAGTCGAATAGTAAGAGATTGAAGGTAGGTCTGTCACAATACCATAACAACCAGAATATTAGCACTATCAGATCATATTCTGCTTTTCATGCTGCATTATTTTTACAATGGTAAGATTTGAGCAACAAGCATATATTTAGTAAAAATTGGAACCCAATTAAACCCAAAGATAAAAGAAAAGAATTGCAAAAAAAATACACAACGGAAAGGTTCAATTTCCTTTCTGTATCTTTGTCTCACTCTGACTCTCAAAGACTATGAAACCGAAGCAGCCAATATGACTTTAATATGAAACCAAAGCAACCTCTTCAGATTTATTTCATCATTTAATCCAAAGAGCATCAAAAGCAAGAATAAGCCTGACCAAAATCAGCATTGCCACAATCTTATATCGTGTACCAAAATGAGTCACCACCAAAAGCTTCAAGAGTCTCCATCAGACAAAGGATTATACAAAAAGGTGCTAAATGGATGTTATAAGCATCAACTGTTATTTGCAAGTTTACCTGCATGTTTCCTATCAGAAGTGCAAAGAGGATCAGTCCAAATATAGCTAGTGATATGGAAAATATAACCTCTCCAGGATAGGTACTGGTTGCAAGCCCCTGGCCAAGTGTACTGTACACAAAATTCATAGAAATCGCTGTTAAAAGCTAAAACTTTCAAGCCCACAAGAGACAACAGATAGGAATAACTTTAAGTGAAAATCATTGGAGATGCAAGAAGTTAGTTTGTGAAAGGAGTGTTGGAGTATGTTGGCATGCTAAACAAATAACCAAGAAGTAAAAGATATCTTTACACTGAGAAACTAAAGTTAACCAACACAATTAATGTATTTTTTTATTATTTTGTACTTCAAGTAAAGAAAATATCATTACCTTAAATTCTGTAGTCCCCACCATAAGCAGTAACAGTATTTGGGGAGGAACTTCTTGGATGAAACAACACCAGATGATAAAGCTGATTTGTAGATTCCAAAATCAAAGTAGGTATTCTGGTCATCTGGTGAGCATTTTGACTGGATGTTTCCAGTAACATCGGACCAAGTCCCAGTATCCAATATGTTTTGGTTCCCGCAGTACAAGAAATTTTTATCACATTTTTTTCCAAAATCAGTACAAGCCTTCTGCCAGCATGTATCATTACGTTCTAAAGCTAATAAATACCAAAACGCCCCAACTATCTGCAATTATTCATCCAACAGATATTAATTGCCCAAAAGAAACGTATAACTCCCATGGTAATATATGAAGCTTAAAAGAAAAATTAAGTACTTGATAGAATTAGACATGACCATGAATGAGAAGGAGGAGACATTTTTTACCAAGAAAACGTCCAGCATGTTTGCAACTTATATGAGGATAATTATATATGTATTACAGACTGCATGGCATCTACATAATGAAGAAACAGACAACTAGTTATAAAGGTAAAGATACAACTACACTTCAAAATTATATTGCATGTGAAAAATATAAGGCCAAAAAGGTCTTAGGAAAAGTTTATAACTAATAACCTAACAGGAAGATTAGGGAAATTGAATAACATACAGCAAGTGAACAAGGCAAAAAATAATAAAGAGTAGATACCAAATAAGGTACTCACATGACTAGCGAGCATGTATAATAGCAAGTAACATGCAGCACCTGCCCAAGCAGTTTCAGCAAAGACGCCAGCTGTTCTTTTCAGTTCTGAAGTCAAAGGTAGGACTCTAACAAGTCTGGGAATATACTGAAGCAAAACTATGAAAAGCAAAGCCTGTTTTGTAGCAAGCACATCTGAACCTTTGGACCTCTGAAGAAACCTCCAAACTATAATCTGCACCAATTTACAGCCTTTTAGTTTTAAGCGCATAGGGCTAACACTTAGTTGATATTGGTTACATCCAGCTCAGTGTATCTTATAGATATTCTACTACAAAATAAAATATGCTAATTTAGAAACAAAAGGAAAGAACAAAATAAGAGCCAAAACCATAGGAAAGAGGTACAGTAATGCGGAATAATTTAAGGTCACACACTCTAACCTGTGGTAGGGGTAGCACAGCAAGAAAATCAATAATGAAATAACTCCGTAAGTATCGCTTGGCTATTCGTGCCGGATCAATCACCAGTTCACCTCGTCCAAAAACCCGAGATGATGGAGCAATGTAAGCTGTCCTAAACTGGAGAGCCATGTGAATAAGATAGAAAGCATCAACAATCATCCGCAATGTGGTCGCTATGATAGCCAACCTTCTATCTATACCAAGACAACTTGAATTATTGATGACTGGAAGATAGAAAAACAAAGGGTCCACAGACACTGCCAGAATACATGATATGACGAAAAGTCTATTCCACAACAGGAGAAATTTGTCCTGAGGATCAAATATCTTCTTGTCTGACCCTTTAAGATCTTCAGGGAACACTGCACGAGAAATCCCAAATCCAAGTGATCGACCGATCGACTTAAGTCCTTCAGACCCCTTTCTCATTCCTCTCTTAAAAGATGTATCCCTTGCAGGACCAGTTCGGCTTAGTCCCTCAATATTAAATCCACATCTTCTTGCCCCACTATCAGAAGGCGATGATAACCTAGAGTCCAAGTCATCGAGCCTGGAAAATAAATAAAAAGCGCGAATAAGCACAACATTTGGTGCTGTTTTAGCAAATGACCCAAATCTAAATAAACAGGGCCAATAACCAGGAACTATAATATTTCAATTAATCGATATGCAACATGAATCAAATATTAATATTTTGAAATAATTATAAAGAAAACAATCTAGAAGGTAAAACAGTTACATAAACAATTTTCCAACCATAAATCACAACACATTTGCTAGTTAGGTAATTTGCTATCTTTTTATTGGATATGGAAACACCAGAATCCTAAACTTTTAAGCAGGCATGATATCTCAACTAGTCATTCCAACATGTACAAATGTTGGTATGACTAGTTGACTAGTTGATCCAGATCTTCATATTGGGTAATGAAGCCCCTAAAAAATTTGCAACCAAACAAAAGTTACATCTCATACCTGACAAACTTCTCTCTCTGCCCTCCCAAGTACGGTGACTTGTAACTGCAATCAAACATTTTACTCAATCAAACACATCAATGCCACCTGCATATAAAAAAGCATATCCAATTAAGTG